TCTGTTGCCCAAGGAGGCAGACTGGGAGTGCTAAGTTGTGGCTTTAGTGGTATTCCTGTCCTTTTTTTTTTTTTTTACAACCTCAGCATTTTTCATCTCAGCTGAGAAGTGGGTAATCAGAGGCAGAGCCTGACTACTTTCTTTTAAAATGTGGAATGTGAATTCTAGAGCAGTCTTTTTTCCCCCTCTGTAGCCTCAAATTTTTTTTTTTTCTTTTTTTTTTTTTTGTCAGTCGTGGGGCTTGAACTCTGGGCCTGGGTGCTGTCCCTCAGCTCTTCAGCTCAAGGCGAGCGCTCTACCACTTGAGCTACAGCGCCACTTCCGGTTTTCTGGTGGTTTATTGGAGATAGGAGTCTCAGGGTCTTTCTTGCCCGGGCTGGCTTTGAACCACGATCCTCAGATCTCAGCCTCCTGAGTAGCTAGGATTACAGGCGTGAGCCACCAGCGCCCGGCTTGTAGCCTCAAATTACAGAGAGTTTGTAGTCTCTCATTAGAAACCTGTTATTGGTTAAGTTCCTTTTTTTTTGGGGGGGGGGGGTCCTGTCATGGGGATTGAACTCTGGGCCTGGGCGCTGTCCCTCAGCTCTTCAGCTCAAGGCTAGCGCTCTACCACTTGAGCCACACTTGCCACTTGAGGCTTTTTTCTTTTTGTTTATGTGGTGCTAAGGAATCGAACGCAGGACCTCGTGCATGCAAGGCAAGCAAGCGCTCTACCACTGAGCCACCTTCCCAGCCCGTTAATTTCCATTTTTATACCTTGAAATGACTGCTAATAAATGGATTCTTGGCATGTGGGTGATGCAAGCTAATCCAGAGGCTGGACCACAAACAGGCCGTGTTTTTCTCTAAGATGTTGTGGGTGCTCATGACCCTCAACCCAAATGCTATCATCTGTATTCATCCAAGAGTACAGCTTTAACACAAACCCAATGTGCTGGTCCCTACCTTTCAGTTATCTCATCTTCGCATACATGGGCCAAGCCACATATAGTCCTGAGAGATTGGACTCAGGGCTGCCTTGGGAGATGTGCTACCGCAGGTCGTCACAACAGCATGGATCCTGAGAGAGTCACATTTCTTTCTTTCTTTTTTTTTTTTGTCAGTCGTGGGACATGAACTCTGACTTGGGCGCTTTTCCTGTGCTCTTCAGCTCAAGGCGAGCGCTCTACTGTTTGAGCCACAGCGCCACTTCTGGTTTTCTAGTGATTTATTGGAGATAAGAGTCTCACAGACTTTCCTGCCCGGGCTGGCTTTGAACCGTGATCTTGAGATCTCAGCCTCCTAAGTAGCTAGGATTACAGGTATGAGCCACCAGTGCCCGGCTGAGAGTCACATTTCTAAAAAGCAGATTTCTGGAGAAAACTAGCTAACACTGTTGAAATTAGAATGGTGTTTCTCTGGCCACTAAATGGTCACAGAAGCAAAGTGTCAATCATTTGGATGGTTTCTAGCAATGAAGGCACAAGACATGAGGAAGCCATAGTCATCCTCATGTCCTGTACGCTTTTGCTCAAGGCTAGCACTCAACCACTTGAGCCACAATTCTACTTCCAGCTTTTTGAGTGGTTAATTGGAGATAAGTGTCTCACAGACTTTCCTGCTTGGGCTGGCTTTAAACCTCCAGATCTCAGCCTCCTGAGGAGCAAGGATTACAGACATGAGCCACTGGTACCTGGCCCCCTCAGTCTTTGCAGAAGATTGTTATGTCTGTTTGCCCTGTGCTCCCTGACAAGCTCCCCGTGCTTAGTTATTGTGCTGGAATGAAGTGTCTGAGAAGCTCCTTCCTCCAGGTTAGCAACTGGTCACCATGGGATCTGTATTTTGTCCTGTGGACCTTTTTGGGAAGGGCTAACTCTTACACACATACATAAACCCCATCTCTGCAGAGTGGCTGACCTTTCTGAGCTCCTGAAGGAAGGGACCAAAGAAGCACATGACCGGGCAGAAAATACCCAATTTGTCAAGGACTTCTTGAAAGGCAACATTCAAAAGGAACTGTTTAAGGTTTGTGCTTCTCAATCAGATGAGGTTGGATGTCAAATTTTCATTTGGGTTTGGGGTAGGAGGTGGGAGGTTAATTAGTCCTCCAGGTAGTCTTGACACCCCTCTTGAGGCACAAGCTGGGCCTTTCTCCACATGCATTCATTCTTGGTGTTAAGCTGTGGCTGTCCTGACGTTATGGACAGCATAGTGTAAAGGAAGAAAAATATCTGTGTTTCAAAGATCAGTAAATAGGGCTGGGAAGGTGGCTCAGTGGTAGAGTGCTTGCCTTGCATGCCTGAGGCCCTGGGTTCGATTCCTCAACACCACATAAGCAAAAAAGAAAAAACCGGAAGTGGTGCTGTGGCTCAAGTGGTAGAGCCCTAGCCTTGAGCTGAAGAGTTGAGGGACAGCGCCCAGGCCCAGAGTTCAGGCCCCACGACCGGACCTAAAAAAAAAAAAATCCCATTCTCAAAGATCAGTAAATAAAAATGGGTCATAGGGTGGGTTTTGGGGATATGGAAGAGTTTTAGTTCTTGTTTCCAGTTGCTCCAACATGTAGGTTTGGACCTGCTGGTCTGGCCTACAGCCCCTTTCCAGTCTTCCATCATCCCCCCACAGCTTGCCACCACTGCACTTTACTTCACATACTCTGCCCTTGAGGAGGAAATGGACCGAAACAAGGACCACCCAGCCTTCACACCCCTGTATTTCCCCACGGAGCTGCACCGGAAGCAGGCACTGATCAAGGACATGGAGTATTTTTTTGGTGAAAACTGGGAAGAGCAGGTAAAGTGCTCCGAGGCTGCCCAGAAGTATGTGGAGCGGATCCACTACATAGGGCAGAATGAACCGGAGCTGCTGGTGGCCCATGCCTATACCCGTTACATGGGAGACCTCTCAGGAGGCCAAGTGCTGAAGAAGGTAGCCCAGCGGGCACTGAAACTTCCCAGCACTGGGGAAGGAACCCAGTTCTACCTGTTTGAGAATGTGGACAATGCCCAGCAGTTTAAGCAGTTTTATCGGGCCAGGATGAATGCCCTGGATCTGAACCTGAAGACCAAAGAGAAGATCGTGGAGGAGGCCAACAGGGCCTTTGAGTATAACATGCAGGTACTTACAATGGGGCACTGACCATGGGGCCAGCTTTTTCTGCAGAAGCCTGAGATTCAGAGGGACCTTTGACAGTGGGCACAAATCCAGAGCTTCCTAGGAGAGCATCAGGAGCCTGAGGACAGATATAGCTGCAGCATGGTCTGGAGGAAGGTGAAGGAACCAAACTGGCCTCCAAAAGGTGTGCCTGGTGGTCGGCTCCCAGCACAAAGGCCTGGCTTGACAGGGTTGGTGTTGGGGAGGATGTGGGCCAGCACACACAGGGGTCGGAGAAAGTAGAGCTGTTTTTTCCTCTCAGCACAAGATGCTGGGATTGAGAAGTGGAAAAACTCTTCCTTTTTAGTGAGTATTAGCATGAAAAGTCTTGCTTGGTAAACTGAATAAGGCCAGAATTCACCAAGAAAAATAGATTGTTTATAAGAAGCCTTTACTTGAGGCCAACCACTCAGAGGTTGTTTCTGTACCCAGAGCCTAAGGTCAACAGCAGTTTCAACGAGAGTAGAGTAAGGTGCCAGCAGCACAGACAAACCATGCCTCCCAGGATCACCTGCTAGATTCATGCAGTTAGTGTGCTGTACCTTGTACCTGCTTCAGAGCTCCCTCTGTGTTGGTGGTAGGGCAGCAAGGGAGTTTTCCAGAAGCAGAGTCTGTACATGATATAGGGATGGATCCTTGATTTCTGCTTCTCAGATATTCAATGAACTGGATCAAGCTGGCAGCATGCTGGCCAGAGAGACCCTGGAGGATGGGCTCCCGATGCATGACGGGAAGGGAGACGTGCGCAAATGCCCCTTCTACGCTGCTCAACAAGACAAAGGTAGGTTGTAGGTCCCAAGCTCCCCTCCTGGGGTGGGCATGTGAATGGCCGCACTGAAGCCACGTCTCCTGTTGTGCCACATACAGGTGCCCTGGAGGGCAGCAGCTGCCCCTTCCGGACAGCCATAGCTGTGCTGAGGAAGCCCAGCCTCCAGTTCATTTTGGCTGCCTGTGTGGCCCTGGCTGCTGGACTCTTGGCCTGGTACTACATGTGAAGGACCTGTCCTGTCATGCCGGCATCCTCCTCCCAAGAGACCACTGTCCCAACCCCCCCAATCTCCACCCGACTAAATTACCACCTCAGGTGACTTTTTTAAATGCTGGGTTTGAGAAAATAAGCAACCAATAAAAGCCAGACACTAGAGCCTTTCCTGACAGTGTCCTCTCTGTGGGCCAGGTATGTACTAATTGCAGGTTATCACCCCATAGCAGCTCACAGAAGTGCAACGCGGCAGGGTGGATCCATGCTTCTGATCCAGCTCTTTCTGGGGCTTCTACACCTCTTGAACCTCCAGCTTGACAGGTTTTGGATGTTATTGCCTTGTGGCCAGTACTCTGGCTCTTTGGGAGGAAGGAGGTTTTGCAGATGCTGCTGTTCAACGTCTGGTCTCTCGTGGGAGGGCAGGCTGAGGCGGAAGAAGCCAGGTTCCCCGGCTTCCTGGTTTCCTCTGCCCCCAGAGACCCTAGTGGTACATCCCTTTCCACCAGGACTCCCTGAGGTCTGTGAGCTTGGGCTGTCTCCTCCTCTTATCTGTGTAAACATTATAACACTAAATAAAGTGGTCTAGGCACACTTCCTCCTTCCTTCTAGCATGGGATGGGTCACACTACCTTTTGGACCCAGTAGACCAAGTGAAGAAGTGGGTACCTTTTTTGCTGAGGGAATCCACAGCAGCTCCCCAACACTCCTGCTCATGTCTTTGCAGCCTTTGTTTAGGATAGGACAGTCATTCTGACATCTTTTGTTACAAAAGATCCTTACTGTCTACTTGGACCTATGATTTTCTTACTCAAATACGTTTTGAGTAAGAATACATTTTGTTAGCTAAAACAGAAACATGAGGTTAAATATTTTTATTGATAGGAATCTATTACTTTTAAAAGTTTTATTCGAAAAAAGGTTGTGAAATGGCGGGAAAACTACAGAAACTGAGTCTATCACATTCACAGCTTTGAACTTGGGTGCCCGAGACTGTACTCCATTACTTTCAGACCATAAGCCTTGGCTCAGTGGCTCTATCCTGCTAAAGGACCAAGAGTAACATCTACAAGGTAGAAGAAAGGCAAGCCAAAACTTGGAGGGAAAGGGGTCTCCAGTTTATAGATCCTTTGAGGCAAATTCCAAGGAGCATAGATGGCTAGAACCAGTATCAGAAAGAGTAAGGTGACTTTACAGCTAGTGCTGAGAGCACTAGTGTGCTGGCTAGTCACTGCAGGATTCCCTGGGATTTGTCTATATCTGACTCTGATTTGCCATAATTAGGTCCTTAAATATTAATATTGTCTCCCAGGTAGTTGGGCTCAAGCCCTGCCTGAATTAAGACTACTATAGCCCCACCCTCTCTTCCCCAGAAAGAAGGAAGCCAGGCAAGAGAGCAGAGGCCCAGGCCAGGGGAGTGAAAGGGCCATTTTAATGAGGAACTACAAACTGAGACCAGGCCACAATTCACAGTGACAAGAGGCCATGCAATGGCAGTGCGAGACCAGGAGAGGGACAGCAACAGGATATAGCATCCACATACCAACCATTCGGAAAGCAAAGACAGGTCTGGGCTTGCACCCCAACAGGGCTGGTGTCCACCAGAGTAAGTACCCCTACTACTCAGCTGCTCCTTCCTGGTCCCCAGTCCAGTGCAGGGGCCAGCACAGCAACAGCGGCAGCCACAAGCAAAGGAGGGCCCAGTGCTTTCTGGAAGTGAGCCAATGGAGAGGGCGTTGCATATCCCAGTGAACCTGCCATCTGTCCCAGTTGGGACATAGCAGCCACCAGAGGTCACACCCACACACAGAGAGGACAGAGGGTAAACAGGAGACACTAGGCTCATGGTATTCCTTCTGGCCCCAGAAAATACAGGGGTTCACAAGTGTGGCCAGAAAGGGAGTCTGTACACCACCTTGAAAGCTGCAAGGGGCAAGGGAGAGTCCTTCTTGGCTACCAGGGCTATGATTTGCCTAGCATCCTTTCTACCTTACACCAGGCAGCTTTTGGGCACTTGGACAGGGGGTTTGAGATCCTGGGTTTCCATACCTGAGAGTTCTGAGGGCCAGAGTTGGCTGTCACTATTTCTGTTGTCTTGCCTGTAGTACCCTAGAGGGACAACGTCCTGTAACAAACCCAGGCCTCAAGACCCTGTCCTGCTTGGGTCCACTCAGCTTGGCAACGCTCATTCTAGGCCCAACATATCAGAAACTGTGGCTCCAGGCACAGCCCTCAGACTGGGACCCACTACTGCTTGAGTTGCTTTTGGTCCCAGGGAAAGCCAGGACCAAGACTGGACCTTGGACGGAAATGGAGGACTAAAGACCCCTGTAGGAGAACTTTCCCAGATTATCTTCTAGATCAGAAATGCCAAACAACCAGCAATGCACAAGTTCAGTGCCACCCCTCTGCCACCTACTGGCCTTTGGCCTTTAAATCCAACATTTTTTGTTGGAAGAGTCAGATGCTCAGGGTAGGGCAGGGTGAGGACAGGATTTCTGGGGATGGTGGCACAGCTTCCAAACCCAGGGTATGGGAGTAGGGAAGCGACCACTGAGCATGGGGAGCAAAGCACGGGGGGCCAGATTGATAGGTGGGGGAGTCCGAGCCTTGCTCCGTTAGCACAAGCGCTTGTATGTGTAGATGTAGGCTTTGCAGCTGGGGCATGTGTGTGTCACATCCTTGAAGTCATTGATGAGGCAAGGGATCAAGCAGCAGCCCAGATCACACCTGAATCAAGAGACAAGGAGAGACAGGTTGAGGCCTGAAGAGAAGGAGCAGAGGTGCCTTGCTAGCCCTATTGTGCCAGTACCCCATACCTACCCCATGAAGCAGCAGAAGAAACCCAGCACAAAGTTCATCAGGCCGATCTCATAGGAGATCTTGGTGGTGATGGCCTGCTGGCAGTGAGGACACACCGTCTGTACCGGTGCACCTTCAAAAATCTCTCCTTGTAGGACTGTCACCGTGGTGGCTGCCCCTGAAGGGACCAAAACGGTGGCCGTGTGGCCCCCTGGACCTGGGTAGGGCCCTGGTGGGTAGGGTCCTGGTGGGTAGTAGCCCATGGGTGGATGAGGTCCTGGAGGAGGGTAGAAACCTATAACAGCATAGAATATAGAGCAGACAGAGGTCATTGGTTAGTTGTATGTCTCATGAGATGAGCAGAAAGCCCAGTGGCCCAGCACCTAGTACACAGCCCCCTAGAGGGCTACAGAGTAGCAGTGGGAGGAGGTGGTTTTGTGGCTAGGGTCCTGAATTGATGTGGCCATCACATTTGTCCAATCTTTCCTAGTTTCTACTCCATGGGACCAAGATAAATATGGCAGAGCCAGGAATGCAGCACTCTTTTCCCTTTGCTCTTGTGTATGGCAAGAAAGGACTGGTCACCAGGCCTGCAAGGATGGAAATTTCCTTGCCCTACCTCCACCCCACTCCTGGATAGAGCGCCTCTGTATCAGGACCAGCCCAATCTGAGTGGTAGTGCCAGAGAGCTGCTGGTAAGGAGAGGTCAGACCTCTCCTCAAGTCCTTGGCAAGAAGACTACATGAACATCCACTGTGATTGAGGAACTTGCCCTGAGCCAGAGTCCAGGTGTCTGTGCCATCCCTTGTCCACAGTCTATGACCAGTAACTGCCCACAGTGAAGGTTGGATAGTATCTGCCACAGTGATCTCCTTGTGTCCCTTCCAACTCACCTGGAGGCATGTAGGTGCCATCTGAACCCACATGGGGGGGAATGAATCCAGGCTGGGACATTGGGTGGCCTGGTGGCTCATAGGGTGGCGGACCAATGTCTGCAGGGGGCAGTGGCATGCCTGGTGGGGGCTGCATCACAGCTGGGGAGGTGCGGCCTGGACAGAAAAGGCAAGAATTAAGAAGCAAATCTGGGCCCAACATATGCCGGGATGGACATCACTGCTTTAGGACATGGAGTGATTTGGGAGCAAAATAACCTCATTGTTAAGAGTGAACAACACATCTGGAGAAGAGAGGGTTACCCTACCTGGGGTACGTGGAGCTCCACTTTTCTCCTCTAGAAGGGGGGCTGTAGGGCCCCCAGGATAAGGAGGGGGTGGTTCATTAGACATCTTCCCTTCACTGATGCTCCTGGACTGGAGAGAAAACACAGACATGAACTGCTGAGTTCTCTGGACTCTGGTTACCACCCGAAGTGTAAGCCCAAGTAACAGGCCTCCTTGGCTCCTCCTCCTGCAGGTAGGGGTCTCTTGCCTTGGGCTCAGGTACATGAAATCTCTAAGATGGGATGGGAAGGGCTAGTAGGCTGAGAAAGCTGTCTTTTGGAGTGTGACCAGTGGACTGACTGGCATGGGGATGTCCCCAACACCTGCGTTCTTTGGAAGCTGGAGGTGGTCCTGGGAACAGGAGCCATTGAAGTAAACCGACAGACCTGACGTTCTGAGAACCTGACCGAAGGCTCCACCAAGGACAGTTTGGCACCTCCTCCAACATTTTAGGACACACCCACAAGGGGCCACCTCTACGAAGGGCTGTTGCAGCTAGGGAAAAGGGTGACAGCAGACTTCATACCTCTCAGATCCTGCTGCTCAGAGAATGGAGGCAAGTGAAGGTCTTGCAGCTGATGGCTGGGACAAACGGCTCTGGGGAGCTGTTTCAAGGTGATCAGAAGGAAGACTGTCAGTCAGGCCACCCTCAGGCTGAACTACTCCACTCTCCCACCCTGCCTCACAGTTCCACTTTCTCCCCAGAGTGCCCTGGGTGCTGGGCTGTGTGCCCTCCTCTTCCCAAGAGATACACTTCCCATCTATGAAGGAATGCAAAAGAAGCCAACTATGGTTCTTGTTTGCTGAGAGTAGGAAGAGGAAGAGAGAGTTAGTGGAGTCCGTTCTTCACCACATTCCCTGAGCACCTACTGTTAGGAATGAGGAAGAGTAGCCTGGGTCCTTTGGCCCTCCTCCATACATGGCATCATAAGAGTAGCCATTAACAACATTCTCACTGGGACTACTCTCTGCAAGTAATAGTATGATCTAGAAAACAACTCGGCAGTATAGCACAGAATTGTATGTGTAGCTTTTCAAATAGAGCCCAGCATAGACTTGTTACAGTCCAACCACATGGGACAGAGACACTAAATAATTCTTCCAGACATGGGGTTCATAAACTTAAATTTAACCAATCAGCAGGCCCAGAGGGACCAAGCCCAAACTTTGGGCTCTACTGACAGTTTGAGAAATGGAAGGAAAAAGATCAGAGCTAAAAGTATCAAACTTGTGACCCTCCTGATGCTTCAGCCTACCTAGTGCTGGGATGGAGGAATGTGTCAATGCATATAATAGGTATTTGGAATAAGCATTTGTTGAAAGATAAACAATAGTTGGGCACAATGGCTCGTTTGTTATCCAAGTCAATAGGAAGCAGAGATGGGATCAAGGGCAGCCCAGGAATAAAAGTTTGTGGAATTCCAAATTAACCAATGGCTGAGTACAGTGGCACACGCCTATCATCCCAAACTCCTGGGGAAGCACAAAGGCAGTGGTGCCTATCTGACATCCCAGAACAAGGAGAGGTGGTTCAAACTCAGTACCACAAAATATATGCAAATACAAGTCAAAATCTGAGCAGCTCAGCGGAAGAACACTTGCAGAAGAACCATAAAGGATTTAGAAAACTTGAATACATAGTAAAGAAGCTGGGATCCACACACGCTGCTGTAGAGGAGGCAGCCCTTGTGGGCTCAATGCGCATTTCCCTTACAGCTGCCTGCCATACACTAGTGGCTCCTTCAGCCCTCCATATCCACACCTGGCCCCTAAGTGCAGCACAAAGTGGGACACATTCCTTCAGTGCAGAGGACGGTATGGACAGTGGCTCATGACAATTCTCAGAACTCAAACACCAACAGCCTGTGTGCCTTCCAACTCAGACCTCAGAGTCCATCACAGGCAGACTTGACCCACAAGCCTTCAGGCAAAGGCAAAGTGGAGGAAATGAGAAGAAAGCAAGATGTAGCCACAGGAATTCCATTGCAGACACTGGTCTGGGGTGTTCTTGAAAGTCAGACTGTCCTGAGTAAGGACCCAGGGAAGGAACAGTTCTGCCATTTTGAGTCAGGTGATGGGGGTTCAGGAGTGCTGAGCCCTCCCTCCACAGCCTCAGAGCAGCCTGTGGATAGCATGTGCTATCTGCATGTCACAGAGAAGGCAAACAAGCTGTGATGTCCCCAGGGGCTGCACAGTCTCACAGTCACCTCAGGTGTTTTGAAGGATTTATTCTGAGCCTTAAACTACCTTTACCCATTTCTAGGTACAACACTGAGGATGTTGGGAGTGCCACACATCCCTGGCTAAAGCTGTGTGTCTGCTGCTCAGACCTGAGCAATGGCCCCTGCTGCAGAAGCCATTTGCTCTTAGGGAGCAGAGGTGCTTTCCATAGCTGAATTATGAGCAGAAAAGGAGCCAGAAATGTGTGCAGGGGTAAGGTGCTTGTGTTCCTGAGGGTATCATCACAGGGCTTTACAGATCAAACTGGCAAGATGCTCAGTGCCCCACTGTTGCATTTTTCAGGTGCAGGCTCAGCCAGCAAGGAATGATTTGGGCCTTTGTTAGTACAAGGAGGGCAACATGGTGGGTAGCTGATGTGTTAGGAGGCTGCAGATTGTGAAGGAAGGACAGAACATGTGCAGCAGGCACTGTGGAAACTCTGACACACACAAGCCTGCAGCATCCCTGAGTTGTGAGAATTCTTACCAATGAGGGCATCAAAAAGAAAACCCTTAGAGCTTCAGCAAGACACAGGAGAGCTAGGGCAGACTCAGGGGTCTCAGATGGAAGGAGTGTCCTGAAGAGGGGCTGGTCACCCTTTACCAACATAGCCTAGCAATTGCCATACCTTTCTGCAGGAAGTTACTCATGCAACCTGGGAAGATGGAGCCTTGCCTCCAGCTGCCTGTGCCCATGACCCACCACAGCCACCTTCCCACTGCTCCCAGGAACCCAACTCTTTCTGCAAAGCCACCCTCGTATCCCACAACCCAGCCTACTGAGCAATGTCTAAATCCTACATGGCATCTGCTTCTCAGCACCAGGTGGGTGGGGTGGAGTGTGATCAGTACAGGCTGTACCCTAAAATGCAAACCTTTGCTCTGAACCCCAGGGTTGACCCCAGCCTGGCCCCCGCTCATTCAGGCCCACTGTAAGGTGCACTCTTTCCCTTCACTCAAGGCCCTGTGCAGAGCTGTCTGCACGCCCAACCTCACAGACACATAGAAGCTACCCCTTCTGTGAGCTGCCAGCTGGAAACCTTCCCAAGAGTGACGATGGAACTGGTATTGAGATGCCTGCAGGGGCGTTTATATTTTAGGGCCATGTGGAATGTGACTCAGCTCCAAGGAAACAGTCTTCTAACATAGAATCAGCGTAGCACCAAACTCAGGACCCCATTTCTGTCTCCCACTTGGGAGAAGGCTGACTTCATGTCAGACTGTGAGAATGGACAGAACAGGGAGATCTGGAGTCAGATCAATGTTTCCCTTCTAGGCCAGGGTCTTGTGCAGGTCAGAACCTTCACTTTCCTGTATGAACTGAACCAGGCCACCTGCCCCTCATGCCAGGCCCAAGTGAGGAGGTGAAGAGCTGACTACTGAGACAAAGACCTTCTGGAATCATGGTATGATGGACTTACAACTTTGTAAAAAAGCTCTGAACTGTACTTAACGATGGGGATACATTCTGAGAAACAGGTGATTCCATGTTATGCAAACTACAACAGCTACATTGCTAAATGATAAATCCTATTGGAACCCCTGTCATATAAGCAGTCCACCTGAGGCCAGAATGTCATGTTGCACTTTAACTGCATCATGGCATGACAGTACTTGGAAAAGAATATAATTCCAGGGCAAGTCAGGGAAGGGGAGCTTTAACTAGACTGGGGGTCAGGGGATCCACTCCTGCTGCTGAATTCAGCTACTCTCTGCAGGTCTACTGCTTCCCAGACAGGAGTTCCAAGTGCAAGGCTTTGGAGCCCTGGGGACTGTTCCTGGCCTTCTGCTCTGTTTAAGCCTATTCATTACTCCTTGCTGAAAGCAATGCAATTGATCCAAGGCCAAAGCCAAGCCAACAGGCAGCAGCCTGTGGCAGGCCCAGCAGTATGCCTACTGCAGCTGCAAGTCCCCTGGAGGAAGCAGGTCTCAATACTTCTTGGCTACAGCCAGGGTCTGCAGGGTCTGAAGTCATCCTACATACTGAGGATACCAGCCATCCATGGTCTCTTCTATCCCTGTGGGCCTGTCAGCTGACACATTGCCACACCCTTGTGGAAGAAAGCCCAGGAGAGAGGCACTTTGAAGCTTTCGGCCTACTGGGACATTGAGCATGGCCAGCTCTGCACATGAGCAGGCTCTCTTGAGACTGAGGATTTCACCAGGTGGTGAGGCAGAGGTGACAGAGAGGACAGGGTCCAGAGGGACCTTCTGGCATTACTTCCTCAAGGGTCTACTAGAGGCATGTTGTCAAATTTTGGTGGGAAGACTCCATTACATTTGATTATTAAGGACCTCAAATAAGTTATGGTTTTGTAGGTTACATCTTTAAAGACCACAAGTGAGGAGCCAGGTGATCCTGGCAACATGTGTAGAAGTAGCAGGCTTGCTTTGTTCAAGACACTGCTGAACTCAAGTCTGTGTCACTGCTTTGTGTCACTTGGTTTTTTGGGAGCGGGTTACGGGGTTGACCCCAGGACCTCAAACACACCAAGCCAACACTTTACTACTAGCTGCATTCCACCGCATCAGGGTTTTTTTTGTTTTGCCAGTCCCTGAACTCCTCTATGCTCAAGGCTAGTGCTCTACCACTTGAGCCACTGAGCCACTTTCTGGTGGTTTATTGGAGATAAGAGTTTTCATAGCCTTTCCTGCCTGGGCTGGCTTTGAACCATGGCTGGCTTTGAACTGTGATCCTCAGATCTCAGCCTCCTGAGTAGCTAAGATTACAGGCACAAGCCACTGACGCCCAGCTCCATTTCCAGCTTTTTCTGAGTTGTTTATTGGAGAGAAGTCTCACGGACTTCCTTGCCTGGGCTGGCTTCAAACCACAATCTTCAGATCTCAGCCTCCTGAGTAGCTAGGATTACAGGTATGAGCCACTGGCGCCCAGCTTTTTTCTTTTTAAAAGCTCTATGTAGAAAAAAGCAACAAAAAGCAGCTAATTCAGCCAACAAATGAAAACAACCCTGTATGTCTTTTGCCTCTAGACAACTATCGAACTGTATGAAAGGATTGTATACCTTACAATCACAACAGAATATTAAGCCACTGTGTTAAGCACCAGTGGCTCATGCTTGTGATCCTAGCTACTCGGGAGAATAAGAATGGGATGTCATGGTTCAAGGACAGTCTGACCAGAAAAGTTCACCAGACTCCTCTGAAAGGAAAAAGCTGGGCATAGTAACACATTCCTGTCATCCCAGGTGGATTGTAAACCAGTCAGGTGAGTGAGCAGTAAAAAAGACCCTACCTCAAAAATAACCAGCACAAACAAGGCCAGCAGAGTTGGCTCATTGGTAGAGAAAACTTACTTAGCAAGTGTGAAGCCCCAATTTCAAACTTCAGTACTGCCAAACAATAACAACACAAAAAGCCACTGATAC